CCAACTATGGGGTTGGGTTCTATTCTGTGTGTGCAATGACAAGAGAGAGGGAAAGAGACGGGAAGAGAGAGAGAGAGAGAGAGAGAGAGAGAGAGAGCTAGGTTTGTGTGTACACAAAGAGAGAGGAAAACCCAGTTGCACCGCCCAACCTCCCCCATCTGTGGACCCATCTTACCCCTCTCTCTCTCTCTCTCTCTCTCTCTCTCTCTCTCTCTCTCTCTCTCTCTCTCTCTCTCGCTCTCCAAAATTTGACAAGAAACTCCTTGGAATTCAAGACGAATTCTGTGGTATTTCCGACATCATACTGGTGCCGGGCCCACTTATTAAATGAGGTGAGACTTTCTGCCGAAATTTCGGAAGAGTTTTCCCTGAAAAATGGATATTTCCCAAAATTTTCAACTTGTTAAACACAATTATAACTCAACCAACAACATGTACAAGATAATAACATGCAATTTATAGAATAGGCCTCCAGCCTCATAGCCAAATATTTTCTAAAATATACTTTCTTTAGGACTTCTGGTAAATTCGTACACTCGTAACACTTATTGTAAAAATAATTAGAGAAGACCTTTCTTCTTCCAAAACTTATTTCTACACTTAGAAATTTTCAAGCACAACTCAAATAGTTTACTTTGTGGCTGCACCTAGGTTAAACCTCAGGCTACCTAAGTACCCATTTGTGAGGGATCAACCCACACGTAGTTCTTAAATCAACAATCATGATTTCATATGATATACAATTATTTAAAGTAAAACCAATGATTAATTTTAGATTCATCTACAACTTCAAACTCAACAAAGCATACACTGAACACATTATAAATTCCTTCCCTTATGTCAGTTCATCCCTGCAACCATACCCTAGGCGTATGTGGCTGAACATCACTTTCTAATCCATGACATAAACATTCGTACCTGTGCAGGGTACTCACGAAGCACAAATTCAAGAATCTCAACTAGGAAACGAATTCACATATGTATATTTTATATGTATATATACACACACACACCCCTCACACCATCAACATGTACTAGGGGAAAACAATCCAATTCGGGGATCATTTAACCAGACCATATGGAGGAATTCTCAACAATCATGTGGCCAAGAATGAGCCGTCTATCCGAAGGACTAGGCTCACCAGTGCGTACAACAGAATCCTCAATACTCGTGCACCTGTGACAAGTCCTATGAGCGTAGACTACCCCGCTAAGGGTCTATGAAACATCTCTTCAAGGGTGCCTTTGTTCTGATCATATCCAAGTATCTATTTCCATGTATCCAAGTATCCATATCCTCTATTTCCAAGCATTAGTATCCAAAGGGAGGTACATATGATAGTACACATCATATACTGGGGAAAACAATCCAACACGAGGATTATTTGGGTGAACCACACGGAGGAATCTTTAACAACCATGTGGCCATAGACGAGCCATCCAACCGGGGGACTAGGCTCACCAGCAAGCACATCAGAATTCTCAATACTCGTGCGCCTGTGACAAATCCTATGTGCGCAGATAACCCCGCTAAGGGTCTACGGTAATACCCCATCAAGTGTGCCCGAGTTTCGACATATCCAAACCATACTGTTTATCCAAATCATTGAACCATTGAATTGGAATATCTAGGGCTCCAATTCACAATCCGTGAATTCCTACACGATCCAAGAGATACCTAGATTAACATATTTGAAATTGGAGTCGATCCAAAGGTCCGAATATATTGAACCCGGATAATGCCTAATATGCGTAATTCGATCGACAGTCAAACGATAATCTAATTCAAATCCGAGCATACTGTCGTGCACGGACGACATGGGGAACATTTTAGGACCAAAAGGGTCACCCAAATAGTGCCCAGGAGTTGGCAGCACGTGGGTGCCCAGAGAAATTCATGTGATCGAAAATCCTCAAAACCGTCGGTCAAGACCTATATCTACGTGATCAAGACAATGAGTGGAGCAACTTTTGTTCTTCAACCATGACCAAAAAGTGACAAGAACTTGTCGAAAAAATGAGCCGAAAATCGGCTAAAACTTTAAGCGATAAAACGAGTTCCAAAACTCAAAAATTGATCCTAATCAACCAACCATCTGCTAGAACACGTTGAGAGGATGAAAAAGCATACCTAGATCGAAGAAATTGGTGGTCGGAATCGATGGAACGAACGTCGGAAGTTTTACGTAAAAAAATGACCATTTTTCGCAATTTCCGGTGACTGGAGGAGGTGGTTCCGTCGGAGGTAGGGTGGGGTAGGAAGAGGAAGGCCTTTTGGTTGTTTTGGTACCTATCCCGTGAGGATTGGTGGTCGGATGTGATGGTGGCCAGCCAAAATGTGGCTTGCTGTGCAGACAAGGAGGGGAGAGGGGCTGTTCGTGAGTGGAAGAAAGAGATCGTGAGGATGGGGGGAGAGAGAGAGCGAGAGAGAGAAGAGAGAAAATATGATTTTGAAAAACTGGACTTCAAAATATTTACAATTATGCCACTAGGCTTCCGTTGATCGTAACTTCTTCGTTACAACTCTGATTTGAACCCACTACATGTCTACAGAATCATCTCGACGTGATCTACGTCATTGTGCCATTCATTTCGCCAAAATCCTTTTGGATTAAAAAAGTGACCAAAATAACCCTTTCTCCGAGGGCAAAATTGTAATTTCATAACTTATTAAATTAAACGATTACTTAAATTTGGGTCGGGATGTTACAAAATTTGTGAAGACACCCAACCCCAAAACCCATCTCCTTCCTCCTTTGAAGAATCTAGCTGAACCATCACTGTCATCTTCACATCACCCAAAAAAGCACCCCCATGGCTCACACATGCCTCGCTTTCTTTCTGGCCATCCTTTAAGATGTTCCCAGATTCAACCTCCACCCTAGACTCAGATTTGGGTTTTTGTGGAGCGACAAAGGAGAAAGTGGGTTCGCAGGGGATTGGTGGGATGGTTTGGGGGTCGGTTGGGTTGATGACCGGTGTAGGGGGGTTTGGGATGATAGGGCATGAATGAGGTTGCTATGTGGGTGGGGTTGGGTATACCTAGGTTGTCTTTTCTTTTTGTTACTTTTTTTTTAACTTTTTTGTTATTTTATTATTTATGCTTTTGTTTTAAAACATTAGGGTTTAGGGGCTGTGTTTTAATTTTAATTTTTTAATTTTTGGTTTTTGGTTTTAGTTTTAAATTTATAATATTTTATGAATTGTACTTTTAATTTATTAATTTTTGTGCCAAATCAACTTTAAATTGAAACCCTATTTTGCCAAATCAACAGTTAACAAAATTTTTAATGGTTTTTCTAACGGAGGGTGTATTTCCAAAGGTTACGTGAAGTAGGTATTGGTCAAACAGGTCTTTAAGGGTTGGGATGAGTTTGTAATGACCTCCATAGTTTTGGGTTGGGGGGTGTTACTATAGTTAATCCTTAAAATAAATACATCACTTATCGGGTCGGGTTCGGAGATGGGGATAACAATACTATCCACGGCCCATCTCCGATCGGGTATTCTGAAAAATTGGGGATTCTCGTACCTACCCCAATTTCCCCCCATTAGGACCGGGGACCCAACTTGACGGAGATTTTTTCCATCCCACCTAATTGAGACCCATTGACCCGCACAATCATATTCTCTTTCCTATTTCTCCGCGTTCTTCTATTTTCCTCTCCTTCTCCTCTCCCCTTCTCCTCTCTCTCTCTCTCTCTCTCTCTCTCTCTCTCTCTCTCTCTCTCTCTACAACCATAGCAACTAGGGTTATTAAAAATAATAATAACATATTCGACTTACTGATTTCCATTAAAATTAAATGACAGATTTGTCTCTTTAAAATATTACTGGAGGGACTCTTTAAAAGCTACTGTATCAAGTTGATAAACATCATTTGAAGTTAGGTATCATCAGATTGAATTGAGGTGCGCTTGCCAATTATTTGAATAACATTTGTGTTTTAGGACCAACAATGAGAACCAAAAAAAAAGAAAAGAAAACCCCACCAGCTAAATTGTCTAAATTGTCACCATCAATGTTAAGATATACGGAAATGAATTACATTCTCTTTGTAGAATGAAGCTATATATAGCATAAGCATTGAACATTTCCATTGGTTAAATACCACCTAATTAAAAAAATATATAATTATCTCCTAACTACTCTTTCTTTTTGGTACAACTCCTTGCAATGTTATCAAATCAGTTTCCTTTAATTTTGTTACAATGGAGAACCCTCCTGCTTCTAATGGTGATGAGACCCTGCCAATTATGGATTGCTTTGCAGAAGAAAGCATGTTTCTTGTGAATGATAATGGCAAAAATGAGGTGTGTAATGCGCTCTTCCCTTTTCCTTACATGTAGTATTGGCATGTAACATTCTTGATTTTAGTGGCAAGTGGAAATGCAAATTAGGATTTAATATTTGGATTCAAATTTGTACTGTTATCAGTTACCGCATGTACTGATGTGTTTGCCATTTTCATCTTGGCTTTTTCCAGTCAATAAGTATGCCGATTTTTTATTTGGTTATGTGAATCTTGCAATGCCTTTGGTGTTTATTTGACTAAGAAGTCTTTTCTTTCCTATTTGTGTTATCATTTTAAAACACTCTCTGTGCGTGTGTTGTAGCTTGCCAATACATATTTGCAAATGCTGTAACTAATTAGTGTCCTTTATGCTATCGGTGTTAGAGTTTATGAGCTAATCTGAGCTAATGAGAAAATGGAGTATTGAGAATGATGAAGACGAGAGAGAGATGAACAAAATTACTCTGTAAAACACTTGCATTCATCTATCGTGTGAGGAAACCAATTCACACTCATATTACTGTTAGAGGAGAGAGAGAGAGAGCTAGACAGCTCCTAGCTTCAATCTCAACCATCCAACTACACTATCAATACGATTAAGACATCTGTCCAAGTCAAGTCCTATGAGACTTAACAAACTAACTTAGACTATGAGCTAAGACTTAACACTAAACAAAACAATTACAATACTAAATCAGTTCACCATTTACACATTAACACTCCCCTTCAAATTGTGAACTGATTTCACCCCAAGCAATTCTCTAAGATATGAGAACTGTTCTCTTGCCAAAACCTTAGTGAATATGTTAGCTACTTGCTCCTTTGTAGGACAATGAAGCAAGTCGATTACACCTTGTTGTAAAGCTTCCTTGATGTAGTGATACCTCCGATTTATGTGTTTGGTTTTCTGATGAAAGATTGGATTCTTGGTGATTGCAATGGCTGAGGTGTTGTCACAATTCAGTGGTGTGGCAACAGCTTGCATTTCACCAAAATCCTCCAACACAAATCTTAACCATGTCGCTTGTGCCGTAGCTTCTGAGGCACTAATATACTCGGCTTCTGCTGTGGATAGAGCAACACATTGTTGCTTCACAGATGTCCAAGAAAACACCCCATTGCCAAAGGTGAAGGCATATCCAGATGTACTTCTCATGTCATCTTCTGAACCACTCCAATCACTGTCACAGAAGCCTATCAAAATTGTCTCTTCTCCTCTCTTGTACTCCAAACCAAAATGAAGAGTGCCTTGAATATATCTAAGAACCCTTTTAGCCGTTCCATAATGCTTGTTGGTTGGACAATGCATAAACCTTGACAACAAACAAGTAGCATACATTATGTCTGGTTTGGTTGCAGTAAGGTAAAGTAAGCTTCCAACCAGTTTTTGATACTGAGCCTCATCTGCAGCTCCACTATCATCATCCTTCCTTAGTTTGTCATTTGGAACAAGAGGAATACTCACTGATTTGCACTCTTGCAGGCCAAATTTTTGTAAGAGAGTAGAAGCATACTTCCTCTGATGTAGAAAGATGCAATTATCACTATGTATAACTCCCATTCCTAGGAAGTGATGCAATAAACCCAAGTCTGTCATCTCATACTTCTGCATCATATCTGACTTGAATTCCTGCAACAATTCTTGTGAGTTACCAGTGTAAACAATGTCATCAACATATATTGATACTATGACCAACTCTGAGTTTCCCTTACACTTCACATACAAAGTTACCTCACTGGTACTTTTTTTGAAACCACATTGCACAAGGTAAGAATCAATGTCTCCATACCAGGCCCTAGGTGCATGCTTCAATCCATACAAAGCCTTGTGCAATTTGTACACTTTATCCTCTTTAGCCTTCACTAGAAATCCATATGGCTGCTCTATGTAGACTTCTTCTTCAAGTACCCCATTCAAAAATGCAGATTTCACATTCAACTGATACAGCTTCCAGTTGTTCTTTACAGCCAATGCAATGAGAGTTCTTATGGTGTCCAATCTGGCCACAAGTGCAAAGGTTTCATTATAATCAATCCCTGGCTTTTGTGCATAACCTTTTGCAACTAGTTTGGCCTTGTTCTTCTGAATTGACCCATCTAGATTCAATTTTGTCTTGTATACCCATTTTACCCCAATCACAGGTTTATCAAATGGTCTGTTCACCAACTCCCATGTCTGGTTCTTTTCTATCATGCTTATTTCATTTTCCATTGCCTTTCTCCATGCCTCATCCGTTGCAGCCTCATCAAAACTCTCAGGCTCAACAATGCATACATGGCACCTTTCATAGATTTCACTTAAATTTCTATATCTCAATGGAGTATCATCATACTAAGAATGACTACTTGATTCTCCACCCTTAATAGCTAAGGGAATCTCACTTTCAACCTGAGTATCATCAGAAATCACTTGATCTTGATTTTCCAATTCATCAGTAGTTCTATTCATATTTGTATATCTGTTTATAGATAGGGGAATACAGATTTCCTAGACTTTGTGCTTCTCCCAATCCCACTTGCCATGTTCATCAAAGATCACATCTCTAGAGAGTAACACTTTCTGAGTTATAGGATTCAGTATCCTATATCCCTTATCATAGATGCCATAGCCAATAAAAACACCTATGGCACTTGTTGCTTCCAACTTGTGTCTCACAGCTCCTGGAACTAAAGGATAACACACTGAGCCAAACTCTTTTAAGTGTTTAATACCTGGCTTTCTTCCACTAAACCTCTCAAAAGGTGTAGAGTTTTCTAAAGCTTTTGTTGGACTTCGATTTAACAAATACACTACTGTGTTTATTGCTTTACACCACAGGTTGTATGGCATCTCTTTCTCATGAACCATGCACTTCGCCATTTCCATAACTGTTCTGTTCTTCCTTTTTGCCACGCCATTTTGTTGGGGAGAGTAGGCAATAGTGAGCTGTCTTTCTATTCCCAATTCTTCACAAAACTGCACAAACTCATGTGAATTGAACTCCCCTCCTCTATTTGTCCTTAACCTCTTTATATGGTACCCACTTTTAAGTTCCACCATCACTTTAAACTTCTTAAACACATGAAGTGCTTCTGACTTGTTTCGCAAAAAATATACCCAGCACATTCTTGAGTAGTCATCAATGAAAGTGATAAAGTATCTAGTCCCTCCCAAACTTGGTGTTTGCATAGGACCACATATATTTGAATGGATCAATCCTAGTGGCTCCTTTGCTCTCCATTTCGATTCTTGTGGAAATGCCTCTCTATGATTCTTCCCATTGCACATCCATGACATACTGCTTCATGCTCTTGGATTTTAGGCAGCCCCAATGCAAGTTCTTGTTTCTGTAACAGCTTGAGACTTGTGAAGTTTAATGCCCAAACCTCTTGTGCCACAACTTGGAAAACTCATGCACACTAGTTTTCAAAGCAAACTCTTTGTTTGTATTGAAAACTAGTGGAAAACACCTGTTCCCTTTATGCCTTACACTTACTACCAAATGTTGTAAAGTTCTATCATCAAATATGTCAACCTTACAATTTCCAAACAAGAGAAAATAGCCATGATCTGTCATTTGTCCCACACTGAGCAAGTTTTCTACAAGGCCAGGTACCAACATGACTTCTTTTATGTACCGTTTGCCTTTTGTAGTTTCAATGACCAAAGTCCCTTTCCCTGCTATATCAACCAACACTTCAGTGCCTACTTGAACTTTGGCTTTCACTCTCCTATCAATATCAACAAGCAAATCTTCTTGAGATGTCATGTGGTTACTACATCCACTGTCTATATACCAGTCATCACTTACCCTTTTCTCTGTCTCAGTATGATTTGCATAGAACAAATTTCCAGTTTCTTCAACCTGATTTGCAAAATGCCCTTGTTGAACAGTCTTGTTTGTATTGCAATATCGTGCAATATGTCCAATTTTATTGCACTTGTGACATTTGACTTTGTTTTTAACCCAGCATTCACCATAGTGAAGTTTATCACAAAACTTACACTTGTCTCCAGTGTTTGTTGCCTCATTCTTCACATAAGAACTAGCCTTATTGTTCCCTTCATAAGAAATAGCCTTCTTGCTCCCTTTAACCTTGTTACTCCATGGTTTCCATTTAGATTTCTGAGACTCATTCTAGTTGTTTTGACTATTGGACCGATTGGATTTCGATCCAATATTCAAACTCGCAAATGCCTTCTCTGTACCATTCTCACCATGCCTATCAAGCCTCTACTCATACCCTTTCAAAATAGCAACTACATCTTGTGCATCAATGGTGTCCAGATCTTTAGTATTCTCTATCACAACTGCAATGCTATCGTAGGATTTAGGTAAGCTAATCAACAATTTCTGGACAATTCGTTGATTACTCAAATCCTCACCATAGCTTCTCATTTGATTAATTAAATCAAACAGTTTAGCAATATACCCAAAAAGTGTCTCACTATCATTCATACATGTATATTCAAAATCTCTACGAAGACCCTGGAGTTTCACAGATCTTACTTGTTTGTCACCTACAAATTCTTGTTTTAAAATGTCCCATGCAGATTTTGCACTTTCCTGAGTTGCAATCATTGGAAAAATCTAATCGGACACAGCTCCTTGAATAATGCCTAATGCTCTGGCATCTTTCACCGCATACTCACGCAACAGCTTCTTCTCTGCCTCCGTGAGTGCCTCCTCCTTCACTGGAATCTTATACCCATTCTCAACCATTTCCCATAGCTCGTGTGATCGAAAGATGGTTTTCATCTTGATCTGCCAGAAATTGAAGTTTTCTCCATTGAAGATTGGCACTCTGAGTTCTCCTCCTCCAGATCCAGACATGTTAGTCTAGATTTCTGATTTGAGCTCAAGAATCACGCAATGAGCTTTTGCTTACAGATTCGAGCCCAACCTCACAGTCAAAACGCCCAGAAAATTTAGATCGAACTTGGCTTTGAGGCCATGTTAGAGTTTATGAGCTAATCTGAGCTAATGAGAAAATGGAGTATTGAGAATGATGCAGACGAGAGAGAGATGAACAAAATTGCTCTGTAAAACACTTGCATTCATCTATCGTGTGAGGTAACCAATTCACACTCATATTACCGTTAGAGGAGAGAGAGAGAGAGAGAGAGAGCTAGACAGCTCCTAGCTTCAATCTCAACCATCCAACTACACTATCAATACGATTAAGACACCTGTCCAAGTCAAGTCCTATGAGACTTAACAAACTAACTTAGCCTATGAGCTAAGACTTAACACTAAACAAAACGATTACAATACTAAATCAGTTCACCATTTACACATTAACAATCGGATGCTTCTTTCAGATATTTTTGGTTCTTGTCACTGTTTCCTTTCCCATAGCTGGAGAGTAAAGAAAAACCCTGCTTTATTTTGCTAGGAGTAATTGTATTCTATTATCCTCCGCTGATGAGGATTTTCTTTCTCTTCCTGCTTTCTTGATCATGCTCTCTTGTTTTCCAATGAGCAATGATATGTTACTGCTTATAGTAATATCTGACTGTTCTCAATTACAGAATGTCATTGCTTGAAGCATGAGTTTTAAACTAGATGGTGTAACTTCCATACTGTTTAATACATTTTAATTTTTCTTACATACATCTGTATCTGTTGGCTTCCCTAAGTGTATTAATGTGTGCATATTCTCCTGCAGGAACTTAATAACCTCGAACATTTGGGCAATGCTACACCTCATTTCAATACAAGCAACATATATGAAGATCTAGGAGACTTGGAAAACTTGGGTAGAGTTGGTGAAGTTGGATATAATTTCTGCAGTGAGCCTGATTCTAGGAGCCATTTTCTGGAGCTATATGATCTCGACCAACCTCAGCATCCTAATCTCTTCCTTTAGTTATCTAATTTTTATGGCAAGTTTACTTTGCATTGATGGTTACCGATTTCGGATTTTATTTTGATTTCAACTATATTATCCAATCATGAATCCCCTTATGTTTCTTAGGTCGAATTACCTTTGCTGCCTTTGGGCTGTTTAATGAATTATTCACTATTGACCAAAGGAAAATTTATCGCTAGAAGTGTAAATTTAAGCCTGAGTATTTCCAGAAACACTACTTTTTTCTTTTTGGTTGCTAATTCTTAGTTAAAATGGGTAGAAAGTTATTTTGAATGAAATACAAAGAGGGAAGGATTCAGACCACGTTTTCTTTTTCTTGTTTTCATCTTCCCTCATACTCTCATAATCTCCATCTCTGTTTCGCATTTTCTTTTCCCTTCTTATCTCTCTCTACTTTCTCTCTTTGAAAATTCTAGTTTTATTATCTACAACCATAGCAACTATAGGGTTATGAAAAAAAAAAGTTAAAAGATTTACTGATTTCCATAAAAAATAAATGACCGATTTGTCTCAGCCACGTAAAAGGTCCCCAACCAATTCAAGAAATATTATTGCAAAGGGACTCAGTCAAATTGGTAAACATCATTTGAAGTTAAAGCACCATCAGTCCAGTCGGATTGAACTGAGGTGTGCCTGCCAACTATCTGAATAACAACTGTGTTTTAGGACCAAAATATAAGAGCCAAAAAAAGAAAGAAACACCAGCAGCTAACCCCAAGTGGGAAAACAGAGAGCAAGACCAGTTTCAAACCAGCTAGAAGGTGAAAAATGAAAAAGAAGAAAAAGTCATGCACTCAAATTTCTGGGGTGCAGGTGGAAATGACAGAAGCAATTGGTGGAAGGACTTTAAAATTTTATATTGAGGCAAATTGTCACCATCAATGTTAATGGGAGAATGAGTTTCATAATTCACTCTCTTTGACTGAATGAATCCATTCCATATATAAAGTAGAGGCATTGAACATTTCCATTGGTTAAATACCACCTAAAGTAGAAGCAGCAATTAATTTGAAGTAAAAGATTCAAACCCTAAACTACATGGATCTGGAAGGAAGAAAATTAATATAAAATTTTGGTCAATATATACCTTCTAGTTAAACTTAAAGGTGAGATTTAATCAAACACCTATATATCTATATATATATATATATATATATTCAAATCCTTACCTGCTTCGACATGGAAAATCATATCCAGGAGTACAAGACCAGTTCATTCTCCCCAGTCTATAAATAGGCTTCTAACCCATAAAGGATTTTCATCCCACAACCAAATCTTTATTACCTAGCTAATTAAGCCAGCTGCAATGAAAGGTGTTTATTTCCTCATAAGCACTCTTGCCATATTGGCATCTGCAACCTTCCTTGTCTCTGCCTCTGACCCCAGTCCTCTTCAGGACTTCTGTGTAGCACTCAATGACACCAAATCTGCTGGTATGCATTAATATATACTTGTGTTAATTATTTATATTCTGCCCCGCAATTATTTCCACATGAATTTTTTTTTTTTTTTTTTTTTTTTTTTTTTTTTTTTTTTTTTTTTTTTTTTTTTTTTTTTTTTTTTTTTTTTTTTTTTTTTTTTTTTTTTTTTTTTTTTTTTTTTTTTTTTTTTTTTTTTTTTTTTTTTTTTTTTTTTTTTTTTTTTTTTTTTTTTTTTTTTTTTTTTTTTTTTTTTTTTTTTTTTTTTTTTTTTTTTTTTTTTTTTTTTTTTTTTTTTTTTTTTTTTTTTTTTTTTTTTTTTTTTTTTTTTTTTTTTTTTTTTTTTTTTTTTTTTTTTTTTTTTTTTTTTTTTTTTTTTTTTTTTTTTTTTTTTTTTTTTTTTTTTTTTTTTTTTTTTTTTTTTTTTTTTTTTTTTTTTTTTTTTTTTTTTTTTTTTTTTTTTTTTTTTTTTTAAATTGTTAGAAACCAAGTGCAACGACAAAGAACTTTACAGAAACAAAACACGATAACACACAAATGCAGGGAGAACTTCTTAGTAAATAAAGGAACCAACACAGCTATATATAATAGCCTTACATCAAACAGGAAGGGAAATAACAACCCACGACTTTACAGTCCTAGAGTCGTGGTACATGACTAAGTCTAAACAGAAAATAACTTGTCCCTTAAGAGTAGGGATTATTATGCATGACTTCAAACCACTACAATCCTAAAAACAAGGAAACCCAAACTCTATCAGCTAGAGAATCCTAATAATTTAACATCCTCCCTTCAACTGAATGCTATCAACATTCAGTTTATCCCTGGATATTCGCAGACACCCATAAGACCACGCATCTTCACGAACACCTCGAGCTTTAGTGGCTTTGTCAGAATATCTGCAATTTGCTCATGTGTAGAACACTGCACCAATTCAACAACTTCATCTTTGATGAGATTTCGAAGAAAGTGAAAACGCACATCAATATGTTTGCTACGGACCATGCATGACTGGATTCTTTGACAGTTTAATGGCTGAGATGTTATCACAGTGAACCACCGTTGGTTTGCATTGACCATGATTAAGCTGCTCCAAGATCCTCCTTAGCCACACAGCTTGGCAAGCACTAGACGCAGCAGCGATGAACTCTGCTTCGGTAGTTGAAAGGGTGACTACTGGCTGTTTCTTTGAAGACCAAGAAACTGCACTTGAACTCAGAATAAAAGCATAACCAGAGGTGCTCTTCCTGTCGTTTTGATCACCAGCGTAGTCGCTATCTGTGTAGCCAACAAGTTCCTTAGTTCCTCCCTTCTTGTAAAACAATCCAAAACTGACTGTACCCTTCACATACCTTAACACTCTCTTTGCTGCTTGCAAATGAGTTTCAGTGGGTCGTTCCATGTATCTACTAATTAAACTTACTACAAACATCAAATCGGGCCGAGTCGCAGTCAAATACATAAGGCTTCCCACGATTTGTTTGTAAAATGTCCCATCAATCCTTACTCCATTTTCATCCCTAGTAAGTTTAATGCCAGGAACTATTGGATTGAGCACTGGATTGCACTGGTACATATTGAATCTCTCCAAAACCTCTTGAGCATACTTCCGTTGACTGATGAATATACCATCCACCCTTTGCGAAACTTCAATTCCAAGAAAATATCTCATCTTACCAAGATCAGTCATGTCAAATTCAACCATCATGGATTTCTTAAAGTGTTCAAACATAGTCTCATCATTACCAGTGAATATAAGATCATCAACATAAAGGCACACAATCAAAAGTTTACCTCCATCTGCCGTTTTTATGAACAAAGTGTGCTCATAAGGGCACTTCTCAAAGCCTTCTCGATCAAAATAGGTCTCTATTCGACTGTACCAAGCTCGGGGAGCTTGTTTAAGTCCGTACAAAGCCTTCTTCAGTCGATATACCTTATATTCCTCTCCCTTTTGTTCATAACCTGGTGGTTGATCCACGAACACTTCTTCATCTATCTTTCCATGGAGAAACGCAGATTTGACGTCTAGCTGGTAGATAATCCAGCTTTTCTGGGCAGCAAGTGAGATGACCATTCGAATGGTATCCAAACGAGCTACTGGTGCA